TCTTGTTCTAAATTAATTCATCTGTAATGTAACAAGCACAAGTACCAATTTTTCTCAGATTTTTTTGACAGTTTATTTACAAAATAAAGTACCAGTTTACAATTAAAACATACACATTGTTATAAAACTATGCAGTCAAGCTCAGTACGTTTTTCCCACTAGTAAAAAAAAAAATCTACTACATATGAAAAACCAGCAGATTACACAGATTCCCTGATTTCGCAGCAACCCGTCTTCCTAAACCGGCATGTGGCAAGAGTGGTTGATTGATTGCAGCGAGTCGCTGAGTTTGCAGCAACGCGTCACACTGGGCATCCACGTGTCGACAGTGGAAAGAAAAACACGCATTTAACAGGAGGAAGCCTGGAGGAAAACATTAAATCCAAGACTAGTTTCTGTTTTTTAGTCTTTTAGTGACTTAATTTTGGAGAGAAACAGTAACATAACGTAAACTAGTGACAAAATCTTGTTCTTGAAAAACTTTTTAGTGAATATTAAGAAATTATTTACTTAAAACAAGCTGCTAAATATTGCTAACATCCTACTTATAAGTTAGTTTTGACTTATTTCAAGTTCTGAGATGTTTGCATTAGAAATACTGGGTACGATTTTGTGTTTTTGCAGTGTAAGGGCACTTCAACCTTCCTGCAAACTGAAAAAAAATTAATAACTTCACTGTGCCAAATAAACACAGGAAAAGTAGCAACAGGAAACTATCAGGTGATGAAGAAAAGACGAGGAAGTGGGACAAAAAGAAAAGCCTTCACTAAACCTAACATGAAATATTAATGTTCTAATAAGAAGAAACTAAATAAAATAATGCAAAATGGTCTGCTGGAGTGAAACGTTGCTGCAGTAGAAAGATCTTAGCAGTTAAAGCAGCAAACTCACAAATTCATTAAATGAATATCATAGATAAGCTACTCTGGAAACAGATGTACATGGATAATCAAAACAGCCGATGCTCTGAAGAGACTCTCTCTGCCTCCTAACCCAAACACTTACATCATTTTGTCACCACTTGTAAACTTCAGAGTCTGATTGAACAGCACCTGAAACTTCGTACATAATCACAAAACCTTGATTGTCGACGGAGGCCTCCTTCTTTAATTTTTCAAGATGATCCACCTCTCGTCTTTGCTGCTTTGAATTAGAACTGCTAACGGCTCACAGCCAGCTGTGTGTGGTGGGTAGCCAGGTAGGTGGGTGTCTAGTGGGTTGGTTGGTTGGTTCACTGGTGGGTTGGATGGTGGGTTGGTTGGTTACTGCTTTGAGTTAACACTGGTAACGCCTCATAGTCAGTCGAATCTGAGCTGTGAGTTTTTCTGCTGTTTAAGCTAATCAAGTAGCAAGAAGAAGCACATTTGCAGCAAAAACACATTGAGGTATCCACAGCTGTGGTGAAATCTCATCACAGCATCTCAAAGTCTGAACTTTGAGTGGGCCACTGTAGCCAAGTCATTCTGTTTGTGCTGATATAAATATGCCGTTTACATTTCTTTAAACATGGTGATGTTTGCAAATATCTCAGTAAATTTTTAAATAAGATAAAACTCATAAGTAGCTTTTCAGAAAGATATGCAAGCTTGTTTTAAGTCAATAATTCTTGAATGTAGATTTTAAAAATAAAAAGTTACTCATTCCACTAGCAAACATTTTTTATATTTTGAAAGAAAAAAATTCTGTAATTTTAACCTATTTTAAAAATGATTGACTTATTTCAAGTGTATTGTTGAGCTTCTTTAAATCTCTGTCCGATAGCGCCCTCATGTGGACAACATTGATTCCTGCAGCTGAAGACAACCACACGAACAACGAAAAGATGAGATGCAAAGTTTGAACTCATATTATTTATTACAATATCTTATATCTAATGTTACAGAAGTTCATTTGAATCCATACAAATAATCTGTGATGTGATTAATATTTCCAAGATATTTCCATGCAAAGAATACAAAGGAAGATCCACACAAGGACTAACATTCAGGTATTTCTACACCTGGGAATGAGTTCTACTCTCGTCTATTTATTTGGTGCAAACATTTCTTTGATTCAAGATCAGACCAGGGTCTTTCAACAAACAAAGAAGGCATTTGGGAAACTACTCAGACGACACGTTCTTCTCCTCAGTAAACTCCTGGAATAGGAAGTTAATGGAAACAGGCACAGAGAGCCAAGTGAGACAGAAAATCTCATAATTCCTTATTACAGATTATCTGTGAGTTCGCTTTCTGTCATTTTGCAGAGTTAACCTTTTTTAAAATATGAATAATGGAAGAAAAAAAAGGTAAAAACAGAAGTTTAACAGCAACTTAAAGGTGAAATATGGATTCTTACACCGTCTCATTTCCCCTTCAGGTGGTTACTGTGGCAACACGCGCTTAAAATTTCACAAGAGAATTTATAGAGACCACCTCAGTTTTCAGTGTAAATAACTTCAGATTCAGAAGAAAACTAAGCTGTGTTTATGTAAAGAGAAGAAGCCGAGTTACTTGCTGCAGGTAAGCTACTGACCCATCATGCTCTCTCAACAGAACCCCACTTGCAAAAATCTGAAGAATCCCTTTAAATTTGCGTCTGATTAAATGAATGAATAAACATGAGTGTTGATAGGAGGAAGGGTCTCAGAAAAACACTGATTAAATGCAGTGAAACTATATTATACCATCAGAATTACACAAGAAGATAAATAAATTGTTAAATTAACTTTTTGTTTAATAATTTGCCGAGATGCATCTTCGTTAACGTTGTAGATTAATAGTGCAGGGTGCCGTTTTGCAGTGTCGTCAAACTTTAACAAAGTCCTTATTTTATTTCTAAATCATAAATGTCCTTAAAGGGCTGGTTGTGACAGATTATACTGATACAAAACTCATTCAAAAAAGGCTAAAATATTAAATAGTTTTAAGTACTTCTTGGAATTAAATATTCTTTAACATCTTTTCACTTTGATCAGTCCATTCAGGATTTTCAGATTGTTTTTGTTATTATTTGTAACTAAAAATTACAAATTTTGCAACATTTGCGCTTATGAATAATGTTAAAAGTGACTTTTTGTTACTCGGAGCAATAATCATGGATTATAACTTGACATCAAGTAAAGCTGAGGAAGCAGTTCCGTAAAAGTAAGAAATACTGCCACCTAGAGGTGAGAGTTAGCATCACTCAAACTAAATGTTTTTAAACATTTTTGTGGAAATTTTCCATTAACTCGTTTAAGTTTTCGCTGACAGCCAATTTATTAGCAACACCTGAAATACACGCAGCTTCCAAAACTTTCTGTTGAGACTCGTTTTCACTCCAAATCATGTTTTTGCCATCAGATATAGTCGAGTTATTAAAATTGTGCTTAATTTGGTCTAGATTCCAGTGCAAATATTTTAGGACAGATGAAATAAGACAAAACTAACTTACAAGTAACTTTTTAGCAAGATATAGGAGCTTGTTTTCAGTCAATAATATTGGTGAAAAAGTGCTAGTTCAAATGCTAGAATATTCCGCTGCGCCGTTACCTAGCAACCCCAGCCAAGCGCTACTTGTTACCTAGCAACCCAGGTCAAGTTCCGCTGGCAGATTATTTTACTAATAAGAATAAATGTTCTAAGTGAAATAATCTGCCAGTGGAACTAGTGCTTTTTCATCTATATTTAGAAATTATTTATTTAAAACAAGCTGCTACATCTTGCTGAAAAGTTACTTGTCAGTTAGTTTACTTGAAGGGCACAGGAAAACGATAAGGTGGGTTTAAAATCATTGTAGCATTCAGGTGAAGAGGAAAAAAGTTTCTTCTGTAAAGGAGAATGAAACCAAAGTACATTTTGGTCCTGCAGGTTCATCTTCTGACTTTAACATGTCGACAAAAAATCCTTAGAGGCTCATTTTGCAACTCAAACAATGAAAGCTGTATCATCTAAAAGTCTAAAAGAAGTTAGATTTTGGCCGTACAGAAATAAATACAAGTCTTAAATTTGTCTTCATCACATATTTAAATGAGACACAGAATATATCAGCTCACTGAACGACGCTGTGAGGAGGCAGAAATGGCCGAACGATAATCGGCTTTAAGTAAAATACCTAATTGTAGATATGATGGAAAAACTTTCATCTTTTGTTGCATTTCTACTTTATATTTGTTGTTGAAAACTCAGGTGAGTTCAGGTTACATCCACAGCGACAGCTTCCTAATAAAACTGAATTTCTCTCATTTTCAGGTTAAATTAATTGGTCAATTTTTAATCAGTAAAATAAATAAAAAAAGAAAGATCCAAAAACCAATTGGAAGACTTTTGTTGAAACTTTTTAAATTAAACTCTTAAATCTGCTGACTGATGATGTTTTTCTGGGAATAAATGCTTGACCGGGTCACTTTGCATCCATTCATGTTCAGACTTTGTGCTGCTGTCCAAATTAAATAAATAAAACATTTTCAACTTATTTGTGTAGATTGGAGCCTCAAAGTACCATAAAAACATGAGATTGCAACATTATTATTAAATTATGTTGCAGCCAAGCAGTTGTTTCTGCTTGATTTGTTCTGTAGCTAATGTAAATGGATAAATAAATCAAATTTATGCCATAAAGAGTGATTATTTACTTAATTTATATATTCATTAAGTTAAAATGTTTAGTCTACATGATTGTTCAATAAAAACAACCTTTTAGCCCTCCCTCATTGTTTATTTCCAGCTCACTTCAATTTTTAAAAAATGTAAATATGTAAATAATAAGAGCTTGATTATATATATTTTATATACTAGAGCTGGAACTTTATAGAAAAAGATTATATTTTAACTTTTTAAAATGTTAACATATGAAAAAGTTTGTTTTATAGAAAAAGCTAATAAAATTAAATAAATTGGAGGATAATAAGTCCATCTATGTGCAATCAAGTGTCACTCATCAATCAATCAATTAATTGAAAAATGTATTTGATTAATTAGAAAAGAAAATGAAGGTTCGAAATATTAGAGAGGAGACTAGAGATGTGGAGTCGTTATAAAGGTTTGTTGATGTTTGATCGATTTATTTTCTCTGTTGTGACTTTGAAAATCTTTTTCATTGAGTTTTTCTCACTAAGTTTACATCAGGAGGTTCTAATATGCTCCATATGTGTTAAAACAGCAGAAGGCAGATTTATTTAAATGAAACTGTCCTTGTGGATGCGTCCTGACCTGAAAACAACTTTTCTGTGACGTCCAACTACAGCAGCAAGTTTTAACTCCGCAAGTTGACTGCTATCAGCTTAAAGCTAAATAATTAGCTATAACTCAAAGCAGACTTTTAAGACAAGCCAGTAAAATCCACTCTTGGATTCTGTGATATTTAGCATATTCAAATCAGAGGAAAATCAGATGAGATGCGGTAAAAATGATCAAAGCTGTCTGATATCCCCCAGGCAGACGGCAGCAACACTCACAGGAAACATCAGCTGCAGGTCTGTCAAACGTCACATTTCTAAGAGCTACAGTAGCGTTTTTTTTTTTACAGCAGAGTAACTTCCATGTTCTTCAGACAGCTGCTACATCACCACAGGCCGTTCACACCGCCATGTAACTCTGATGCATCACGTCAGATGACTGCTGAGCAACATGCAAGGTGTTCAAACATAAACAGTTCAAAGCTATTTAAATTCCCCGTAAGAAGTCGATTAAAACTCATGGAGGATGACAGTAAGGTCACACGATCCGCTCCTGTGCAGCGCCGCGTACTACTGCAGGTTCTTCAGGAGACGTCCGTAGCGGAAGTCGTAGACGTGTCGACAGAACAGAACCAGCTCTGGGTCGACGTCATCGGGCACACAGTGGTGGGTGGGCATGGCGTTGCTGAGAACGGGCGGCACAACGAGGGAGGCGGCTCTGTCGCAGACGCCCTCCCTGCGGCGTTTTACCAAGGCACAAAATCTGCACACAACACACACAGGAAGGTTTCAGTGCACTGCAAAAACACAACATGTTACATATTTTTGTCCAGTTTCTACTTAGTTTAGAAATTAACTACAAAGTTACTTTAGTTTCTACTTTAGAAACTAATTTCTAGTTTCTAATCTAATTTCTAGCTAGGAAATTGTTTCTAGATAGTGTAGAAACTAAACAGAAAGTTAGTTTTGTGTTTAAAACTGAAACAAGCTTCTATTTTCTAAACTAGTTCCTGGCTAGTTTTGTGCTAGAAACTAGCTAGTTTCTAGTTAGTGTAGAAGCTAACTAGAAAGTTAGTTTTGTTTCTAGTTTAAAACCGAAACTAGTTTCTAAAACTAGAAACTAGTTTGGAAACTCTTTTATCCACAGTTACTGTTTTTTATTTTGTGGTGAAACTTTAAACTGCTGCTGTGCAAATTACTCAGCAGGGTGTTGCTAGGTAACCACCAGTTACTCTACAAGTTGTTGCTAGGTAACCACCAGTTACTCTACAAGTTGTTGCTAGGTAACCAAAGAGTGAGCGAGTTAGTTGATTCCATAAATTTTCCTTAATTGGCTGTGAGAGGTTGATGCTGATCCTTTCATCTGCCTAAATCTCCTATATTGTTATTGATTTATTGTCCAGCGCTTCAGAAAATGTTATTTTTTGATCAGTAGAACGTCTGAAATAAAAAAAAAATTAAAAAAAATACTAAAACACAAAAAGATGCCCTTCTTACCGACAATACTGTGCCAATGTTAGGACATAGCATTTGTCTTCAATACAGGCCACACTGTTGACATCCTGGTGACGGGAGGCAAAGATCTCATTCTGCAGAGAGACGCTCAGTTAGCACAAAAGAAGGAAAGTCCAGCTTTTCCTTTTAGTTGCTACTTTCTGCATAGCCAGAGTGTCTTCTTCTGTCACGCAGTCATGCTCATTTTAGCTGGTTTTATTTAGTGTAACTGTAAACATGGCAGCCGTTTACCTCACAGTGCAAGGTGGGGTTGCGCCCTCCCTGCGTGTGTTCTGGACGATAATACCAAAACAAGCTCATCATCAGCTCTCCTGAGGAAACACAGACTGGTCAGTTCTCCCTCACCAGTTCAGCTTCCTTCACCTGTGTGATGGAGACATACCTGACTCCGGCTCCTCCCACAGCGCAGACACCTTGGCCACGTAAGGCAGAGACTTCTTTCTGGGCCCAGACTTCAGCAGAACCGTGTCTCTGACGCGAATCTCGTCGCCGTCCCTGCGGATTCCCTCAAAGCATTTCCTCAACACCGGAGCCTCCTCTCCCTGAAAACACAGGGAGCAGAAAATACCCATGAACAAAAACACAGTGAGACCTTAGAGGCAAGCTGCTGGAGAAATTTATTTTGTCTTTTAAAGGAACATTTGGATAAACATCCGGTTTATTTAAAGAGGAACTGTTTACATTTTGCATGTTTTTGTACTTTTATTTGGATCTCAACTGTTTCTCAAAATAACTCAGAAAAACCCATCCAGCCATTTTATGGCAATAAATTAATGTTTTTGGTGCCATTCCAAAAACCTTCTGATTGTTCAGTCACATTCCACAGGCGCTGCGTCGTTACCTAGCAACCCCAGAAGCCCAGGCCTGTTACCTAGCAACCCAACTGGGACCCCAGCATGTTTGTTCAGCTGGTTTTACTGCTGCATGCGCTGTACAATGGCTGCTGGAAAAGACAAAGTGTTTTGTTACTATCCTTAAACCACTTGCTGCATTCTTGGTGGTTAAGCAGCATGTTCCACTTCTGCTTTTCAAAGATGTGCAGTTGTGTAATTGTGCATCTGCTTGCAGTTATTTTCACACGCAAGTGTAAACATTGAGTTTCGGGGGTGGCCAGCTGAAGCTTATTTTGATTTAAAGTGACAGAGACCCTAAAACAGCTCAAAACAGGCAGAATTGACTAAAATCTCATTATCTAAGAATAATTTAGTGCAAAAAAAATGTAATGAACATGTTTGTATAGCATGTAAATTTATCCTAAATTGTTGAAGTATGAAAGGCAACCTTTAAACAATCATGACAAATATTTTGATTGAAAATACCCAGACAAAAATAAAATAATCTCTTCATTCCTTCTTTAAAATAAAAGACAGCCCTCTAATCAGAAAGAACTAGTAGTTTTTCATCAATATTAAAAAAGTATTTACTTAAAACAAGCATGTAAATCTGGCTGAAAAGTCACCTACAAGTCAGTTTTGTCTTATTTCAAACATCTTAAGATATTTGCAAGAGAAACTAAACCAAAAATACTTTGTAAGATTTTGTGTTTTTGCAGTGTCCAGGCTAATTTGTGAGTGGATACAAAACAAATCCGACTTATTTTACCAACATTTTTCCTCCAGCTGGAAGAAAGAAAGTTAATTTGAATCTAATAGAGAATGTTTGAAGGATGCTAAAATACTTTTGGCACGACTGTCTCTACTTACAACAACAAAGACCTCCTTCTCAAAGGGCTGGCCCAGCGACCTCCAGCCGTTGGTGGATTTCTGCCGGCTGTTCTTCGGCTGCTTGGGAACCGTTTGCCCTCCAACCGAGGCGGCGCTGAGCCTCTGGTTCTTGTCCCGGTTCAGAGGCAGGACGGCCAGGCCGCCGCGGGCTCCGGACCTCGAGCCGCTGCTGGGCGGCTTGGCACTCTGTGGACACTCCTTCGCCACCTGCAGCGGCGGCTGGGGTCGGCTGGGGTCGGAGGGCGGCGTCTGGACGTGGGGCACTGATTGGCCGGCTGGAGGCACAGTGGGAACGGGGCAGCCAGTCAGGACTCTGGGGCTGGGACACATGGGGATGAAGGATGGGCCGTGGTGATCGCCGAGGCTCGGCGAGTATTCTTCTGCAGGGAGGAGCAGGAAACGATTAATCGTTGGCAAAATACCTAAAAATGGTACTCAACTAACAGGAGCACTACTTCAACATATTTTTACTCAAACGTAAAAAGTAGCCGTCCAAGAAATTACTCGAGTAAAAAAAGTATTGAATATTATATCAGATATATTATCGATTGATATTGATCATGTCTGAATCACAATATATATCGTTATTGTTTTATTGCCCAGCCCAAATTCATTTAGATGAATGAATTTTTGAAATAATCTATAATGATTAATCGCTAACTGGAACATGTAGACTCAAAAAATGCCATCTGCTGTAAAAACCACACTCAGAGCGGTAATTCAGCCAAAACTGTACAAATCCTTACGTTTTGCATTTATTTATAGACAAATAATTATGTTCTACCCAGAAGAAAAGCTGGTTTTTCAGAATAAAGTTTTCAACATTTGCATTCATGCAAGGAATTAAAACAAAAAGCTTTTTATTCATGCAAAGCGTCCAGAGGTGCCACAAAACTGACAGGAGAGTTAAAGAGACACAAACCAGATCTGTAAAACATCTCCCAGAAAAGTTAGAATAAGCGGCGGTAAAGTGACACCGCAGCGTGGGCCGACCGCCAGCTACTTCCACAGCAGACGTGTCAGAATATGAAAAGAAAAGGAATTACTAATGACATTTAAATAATATCTCCTTTTCCATTTCTGTGCCCCAGTGTGACAGCACGCCAACAGACTCAACAGCGTGAAAATTTGCTGCATAAAGCTCAGGCATCATTACCTTTATTATTGCTCACACCTGTTCTTTCCAGTGTTTAAGCGTCTCATGAGAACAGGGCCAGAGATTTCCACTGAGATTAAAGTCGGGCCCTGCGGTAGACGACAGCGCGAGCGTTCACACACCGAGCCGCAGAAAGTGACAAACGACTTCAGTGTTCAGAGGAAATAAGCCTGTTTTTTTTTTGTTTTTTTGTTATTTTAAATGGAGGTCACATTCAGGTGCTTTAAACACACAAACGTTCACGTACACATCCACCGTTTCTGTTCTGACTAATTTCTCGACTTGAGCTCATTCAGTCGGCTCACCAGGTTTCGGTTCAGTCTGCAGCCGCATGCATTCAATCCGAGACAAAAGAGGTCCTGCCCTGTTTCTGATTTTTTATTTTTTTTTCTCTCTCTCTCTCACCAACTTCCCATTTGACTGACATTCTATGAAGGGTCAGATAAGGCAGCTATTCTTAGCGCACTGCACCGCTTTGGCTGCCCAAACAGGAAATGCATTCAAAGTAACCTTGCAATTAAAACATGCAACATAAAAGTACAATCCAACTGCGATGGGAATGTTTTCTAAATGACTACTGGCTTGCTTTTAAGAGCTTTTAAAGCACTTACACTGACTTTATCGCCTGATTTTTTATCAATTATAAATAACCAGTGACGTTTAAGTTGTCAAAGGTGGAATAACTGCACCGAATTAAAGAGATAAAAACGCACAAAAGCATCATGACATGAGCTGCAGCACCTTTCTACCTCAGAGTTCAGTTTCACACATTTACATTTGCCACCATGAATCATAATGTTCAACCACAACCAAGGTGCTTAAAAAACATTGTAAACAGAATATTTCAGAGGCAGATAAGGAATGAGGGAGTGAGGAGTTTAATTTGTAAAAATGAAATTAGTTTATCCACTCCTAACAATCTGTGGTACACATAATTTGCCTTATATGCAAATTATTAGAAAAAATCTTTTTCTGCAAGCGTAAAACAATAAAACATGAGGAATGTGGGGAGAAGGAATCAAATTATAACTTTAATTTATTTTAAAAATGTGGAATACCGATTGCTCAATTTAGTTATAAACATAAACTACATTAAAATGAGTCACAAGAAATACTGTAAATAATACTGTAAAGTAAAAGTGCATCTTTTTAGTAGGTGTAGATGGATAAATGGTTTTCTTGTAATTGTAAATAGTTTTTCCACCATTAGCACACACTGAGCAGCGCAAACCAGAGATGGATTGGCAGCACTAAGATCCGCCTCCTGGCTCTGATTGGTTGTTGCAGACAGCAGCAGCAGCAGCAGTGGGGGGAGGATCTCTGACTCATATTCGGTCACGACATGAAGACAGTTTTAATAAGTATGGGAAAAACCCCATATTTTTGTAAAAGTTACATGAACAGAAACCAGATTAAATCATATTGGGGAAATGTATGTTTGGGGAAATAGGAAACATTGCAGAGTGACGTCTAAGTCTGTCACAATAAATTTTGCTGGACGATAAAGTTATCGTGATAAACAATAATATTGTAATATTGATTCAACTGGTTCGAATCGTCCTTAAAGAGCAGGCATTTCTTTAAGTTGGTAATTTCTCTTCCAAGCGGACATAAGTCACATGTGGTGTTCCCCAAGGCTCAGTCCCTGGACCCCTCTTGTTCAATATCTATTTGATCCCACTGGCTCAGGTCATAACCGGAAATAAGATTAGCTACCATAACTATGCAGATGATACACAGCTCTACATCACGATGTCACCAGGTGACTCTGACCCCATCCAATCACTGAACAGATGCTTAGAACAGATAAATGTGTGGATGTGCCAAAACTTTCTCCTGCTGAACAGAAATAAAACTGAAGTTATTATCTTTGGACCTAAAGAGGAGCGAACTAGAGTCAATGCACAGCTTCAGTTATTACAACTAAAAACCAGCGATCAGCCCAAAACCTGGGAGTAGTGATGGACTCTGACCTGAACCTTCAGAGCCACATTAAGACAGTCACAAAGTCGGCCTTCTATCACCTGAAGAACATCTCCAGGATTAGAGGACTAATGTCTCACCGTGATCTAGAGAAACTCATCCATGTGTTTATCTTTAGCCGCATTGATTACTGCAACAGCGTCTTCACAGGTCTGACTAATAAATCAATCAAACAGCTGCAGCTGATCCAGAAGCTGCTGCTGCTGTTCTGACTAAAACCAGGAAGATAGAGCACATAACACCAGTTTTAAAGTCCCTACACTGGCTCCCTGTAGCTCAAAGAATAGACTTTAAAATACTGTTGTTAGTTTATAAATCACTGAACGGCTTAAAGATCTGCTGTTGTCATAGCAACCTTCCAGAACCCCCAGGTCTTCAGGTTCTGGTTCTGCTCTGCATCCCCAGAACCAGAACCAAACGAGGAGAAGCAGCATTCAGTTTCTATGCACCACGGATTTGGAACAAACTTCCAGAAAACTGTAAAACAGCTGAAACACTGAGTTCCTTTAAATCCAGACTAAAACCCTCCTGTTCAGAGTTGCTTTAGAAACAATCAATGAAAGGACAAAATGTAAAGTTTAAATTTTTAACTGTGACTTTGTATTTTTATGATGTAAAGTGGCTTTAACTGCCTTGTTGCTGAAATGTGCTCTACAAATAAAATGTTATCGATTTTGATAATGCGTTATTGACATTCTGATGTCTGCCTACCTCTTTTGATGCCTTGGTTGCATTTGGCGCAGTCTTTGGGGGTGTAAGGGCACCCCCCTCTGGTGATGGCAGGAATCACACTGGGATAGGAGTAGCCGTTGATTCTGCAGGGCTCTCCGTAGCACGCCTCCACTGAAGTGCAGCAGTAAACTGGATGTCTGATCCCTGAGGGTTGTGGGCCGGCGCTGGGGTGCAGCTTCGGCCTCTTGCTGCTCCTCGGGCACAAAGCCATCGGCGACGGCGGGCCGTCCGGATGGGTAAAGTGGACGTAGTAGCCCGGGAAGCAAGTGTACGTGTGCGGGCTGATGGTAATGGCGGCGGGGTGGGCGACAGAATGGGGCGACTGGAGGTGGTGGTGGTGGTGGTGATGATGGTGATGGTGGTGGTGGTGGTGGTGGAACACGTCGGACATTGAGCCGTCCTCCGGCTCCTGAAAGGTCTTGTCCTCCAGGAAGAGGGCCAGTCTGTGACAGTACTCCACGCATCTCTCTTGGGAGCAGCAGAAGCAGGAAGTGACTTCTGCCTCCATCTGCTCCTCTTTGATTGTTTTTAAGGGGAATCCCAGCGACGAGCCGCGCTGGAAGCCGTGCCCCGCCGCGGCGCCCGGCTGACACAGACCGCAGCAGCAGCTCATTTTGGACTGAGCCGGGAACTCTGCGTCCGGTTGTCTGTGCTTCAGCGGCTCTTCTGATTTGGCGTGCGGTCTTCTCGTTTTGGTCTGCGTTGTTCCTCCACAGACAGGGTCAACGTTTGAGCCGCCCTGACCGGTCTTCTTCTGCCGTTTGGTTTTGTACTGGGAACCGGTGAGTTTGAGCAGCGTGGCGGCGGTGAGGCCTGCTTGACGTCGCGGCGTCGGTGCTAGCAAACTCAACCAGTCGATGCTCTCCGCCTGATCCTTCTGTTTTTTGGCTCTTTTCCCCCCTGCAGAAACATTTTTGGCTTTTGGATCCCCGTCTGCGTTTTCGCCTGACGGCTGAGATTTCTTTGTGAGGTTGGCCATCATGGAGCCGTCTCTGTAGAGCAGCAAACTGTTGACGGCCTCGGCGTTCAGGGAGGCCATTCTCCGCCTGCGAGGCTCGACAACCGGGGAAGCTAGCATGAGTAAGGCGTCCTCTTGGTTGGTTTTTGGTTCTGGAGTTTGCTGATTGGCGGTGGAAGTTGACACAAGTCCAGATTTTGTCGATCTTGAAACGGAGAGCTTTTTCTTTTTGACTTTGACGCTCTTTTGCAGATTATATTTTGCATTCTTTTCCTTGTTGACTCGTTTCTCATCCAGACGGGTCAGCAGAACGCAACAGGAGAAGGAATCTCCTTTACCAAATCCTCCAGTCGTCTTCCCGTGATAAAAACCTCTTACGTCCCTCTTTCGTTTTTCAATAATCTCATTCTTTCCCACATTTCCCTTCTGTTTGAGTTCCCCTTTCTTCTGGCAAGCATTCTTCTTCTGCAGTTTCCCGCGCTGCAGCGGCTGGCTCTGTTGAGCTTTCACCATGATCTCAGCATCAGCAGCAGATGTGCCGAAATCTCGTCATCCACAGGTTGTGCAGCAGATGGTTTCAGGTCGGCATTAATCTGTGGAGCGACACAGCACACGTTCAACCGAGAGCAATCAGTCACATGAAGTGAGCCTTTCCAGTTAGAGTAGAACATTAAATTACCAAAATGTCATCAGAATTATAAAAATATGTAAAACAGAAAATTTTGTACAACTAGCTTCTTCCAGGTTGTGTGTGATGGATGGATGGAAAACAAGACGGACAAATGGATGGATTAAAAATATGTGCAGGAGAAAAAAGGATGGAAAAATAGAAGATGGATGGATAGATGGACTAAAAAAGGGCAGATGGAGGAAAATATAAGAGGACAAAGGGATGATGGATGAGTAAATAAGGAAAAGAGAGGACAAATGAATAAAAAAACAATGGATGGATGGATGGATGTTTCAGAAAGTGGGATTTGAGATAAAATCTGGAAAAATAGTTTCCATGTTTTTTTTTTGTCCTTAATCATCCACAGAAAAAAATCTTAAATCAAATTCCATATTTTTCCAAAAAATGAAATTATCGGTAATCTGAATCATCCTGATGTTCAAATTAAAAACATTCAGCCTCTCAGTGTTTCATCACAGGCGAAGGGTTTAATGTTCACACATAAACATGTTTAATCAGACTCTTTTCATCACAGATTTGTGGATCATTTATCTCGAATTCAGCAGATTTTTAGATGATTCTCTGCCATTTTGGAACTTGACAGCAAATCTGCACCATTGGAAGCAAAAACAAGCCAGAAGCTCATTTCTACAAAAACTGGTGGCAGAAACGCTCGTCAGCGCAGCGGCCGCCTCGGTTTCCATGTCAACAAGCTGCTGTGGCGCACATCAAACCGTCTCTGGCAACTCCAGAGGAGAAAGCGCTCCACCAAGCTCTTGATGCAATTCACTCATCTATCTGAGATCACAAAGGAACCCAATGCGCCGACCCGAAGGCCTTCGCAGCTCCTGATGTTTCAGCTGTTGCTGACCTTTCTGTGTGGCAGCAGCAGGAGGAGACGGATCGCTCTTCCTGCCACGGAACAACACAATTATCCTGCTTGACCTCCGAGAAGTCAGTCAACATGCTCATCTTTTAATATGAAGAGGCTCTTTTGCTGGAAAAGCACCAAAATTTCACAATAATGCTTTAGATTCAAGATGGAGAAAACTTAAAGGTGATCTGGTTCCTTGAACAGGTTATGATCAGTCTGTGAGAGGAACAGAACTTCAGTTCTTCAAGCTACAGGCACTTCATTATGCCTGCAGTTGTACGGAAGATGATTACTGCCACCGATAAAAGGAATTTGGATTTTTGTCTTAGAGGAAAAAAAAGAGAAAATTATTTTAAAAAAGTCAGAATCCTTATAGTCAGAATTCTGAGAAAAACTCAAAATTATGTGGAAAAAGAAATTTGTAGAAAAAAGTCAAAATTCTGAAAAATGAGTTCTGAGAAAAAAGTCAGAATCCTTAAAGTCAGAATTCTGCCAAAAAAAACATTCTGAGAAAAATAATTTTGACAAAAAAGTGAAAATTCTGAGAAAATAAGTTAAAATCCTGAGACAAAAATAATTCTTAGAATAATGTGAGAATTATGAAAAAAGTCAAAACTCAAAGAATTTTGAGAAAGAAAAAAGTCATCATTTATTTATTTTTTCAGTGGCCCTAATCCACTTTCATTAATCTGATCTCTTTCAGAATGAGCAGTTTTAGGGTCTCTTGTCACTTTAAATCCAAATAGGCAGCTTTACACTCGCACATGAAAATGTACGTCTTTGAAAAGCAGAAGTGGAGCCTTCTGCACAACCAACAAGAGTGCAGCGGTTTGTTTCTGGATGGCAAGTCGACAACAAAACACCTGTTGGTACAGCAGTGCATACAGCGGTAAAACCTGCTGACCAAACTTGCTGGAGCTCTACTTGGGTTGCTAGGTAACGCAGTTGGGCTTGGCTGGGGTTACTAGGCAACACCGTAATGCCCATGGAATGTGACTTAGCAATTTGGAGATTTTTGATACAGCTCATTTTCCAGACACCCAAAAACATTCATTTATTGCTGAAAAACTTTTGGGTGTTTCTTTTAAGCACTTCGGCTGTTTTTAGAAGCAGCTGAGATTCAAATGGACGTACAAAAACGTGCAAAAAGTGGATTTTGCTTAAGTTGCTGTTGTCATTGTCGACTTTTTCTGCTTTATCACTTCAGTGCTTACCTTCAGCACTTAAGCCTTTCCGTATTTGCAGCGGAGCATGCCCCATAAAAATGGATAATGTCAGGTTATTGCTGAAAACCTGTTGCTGTGACGCATAAAAACACATCTGACAGCCGGCGAGCGGACTCAAGTGTCACACCACTTCATTTACCGACCAACTAAGCAGCAAATTGCTGTATTTTTATGATGACAGCTTGCAGTCGGGCGACACTAAATGAAGGGTTTGAAAACCAAAAATGAGCACAGGCTTTGCTCTGAGTATTTTTAAGATTACAGAACAGACAGCAGATATTTTCTCTCCATCACAGTGGAAAATGCTGAGACTTTCTCACTTGAAAGCAGCGGCCTGTTTCAATAAACATTCCCGATCACACACAGAGACACACATGTAAACAAACGCAAACCCGTTTTAACTGCCTGTGGTGGACATTTCCAAACAATCTCACTGGCCTGTCTTCAGCCCTTACTGCCGAATAACTCGGTGAACCATGAAACACAATCTATGAGGGCGAAATTTAATTTCCACATAATAAGCACACAGAAGGAGCCTCGCATTGAGTTTCTGTCTGCGGATATCAAATCAAGTTGCTCCATTTGAATAGGACAAGCGTGCAGCTGAAGGACAGGAGCTCAGGGAGAGACCAACCAGAAACAGCAACTACAGATTTTTAATTTCTACAAATTCCACATTCACATTTTGGGATATTTGCTTTTGTTTTATGCATATAAAAGAAAATATATTGCACAACAGTAAAACCTGCAGCTTTTTTGCACTAAACCACACTCCATAACATTAACCACTAGTGGTGTGGTTAATTAATTAGCCTGTCAAAATTAGCAAAAAGTCAGTTAATTGCATGACAAATTAAAACAAGCTCAAGAATTTCCATTTTCATGATTTATTGTTTTTCTCTTTCCCTTCTCTTTCTACCAAAAACTGGAGACTTAATAATTTATTTTATTTGTTGTTTTTTATATTTAAAATGTCTTTCAGTAGCAGTGTTTAATGTTCATTAAAGTTTGAACTTTATTAATCCTGAAAATGTTCTTCAGGTGAGAGAAAGCTGACTTTGTAACTGTCTTTATGTGGCTCTGAAGGTTCAAGTCCATCATAATCAATGATGGACTTGAACCTTCAGAGCCACATTTCTAGTTGTACTTTCTAGTTAAGTTCTGTTTTATTGGTGCATATTTGTTTGAGGAATCTAATTTAATTTATTAATATTGCAGCAGTTGACAACAAATGAGTCCAGCTGAACAGAAACTAAACCTAAAGAGGAACGTAAACCTAAAAAGGAGTAAATTTCAGCCAAAAAAATTTAAAGTTTGAGATTTGAAAGATTTCCTAGAAAAGCTAAAAAAAATGTTATTAATCTCAAATATTTTCTAAAAAAAAAAAAAAAAAAAAAAAAATTTTTTGGGGTTTGAAAACCCAAAAATTTACAAGAAAAAAAAACTAAAATTTCCCAA